AAAACTCACAAAAAATTCATCATTATTTTTTCAGACTTCCATTATTTAGTGAAAAAAACAAAAATGACTCAAAAGCTATAAATGAAGACAAAGAAAGATTAGATTCCTTTTATAAAAAATATCACTCCTTTCCAAGTAGCTTAAATAAGATAGATAAATATGGTTTTGAAAAAATGGAGGGTGCGGGAAACCCCAATTTTTTTATCCAAGTGCAGAATCCAAAATTTCTTGAGTTTAGAGAATGGGAATGGCTCAAAACTATCAAATTAAATCAGTTAACTATAGATAGAATATTTGAAAAGAAAACTCAAGATACTGATTTAGTGCCTGGAAACCTATTTAAAGTAATGCTTGAGGTGAAACACTGGTTACCAGAATACTTCAAATTAGCGAGAAATGCTTTAAATCAAGATGCAATTGACATTTACTTCAAAGATACAAAAATCTCCAATGAGGAACTTAAGAGACTAGTATATTTTCCCTCAGACAAGATTGGAGATAAAAAATGATTCGTGTGATTAGATAAAGATATCTTAAAACTGAAATTAAATTTAGGATTTCAAATCTGATTTTTTAATCAGCCCGAATTCCGATCAGAACCATTTGTTAAAGACTTATATAATTCATCAAGAAATAAGAAACACAGATTTGCACTTAAAAGACATATAAAATCACTGTACAAACAGCTCTCTCAAGAAGAGAAGAACTTATTCGAGTTTTACTATAAAGAGATGTGAATTAAAAAATCTAAGAATACATTAGGATCTCTAAGGTTAGAGGCTGAAGAAATTGATTCCGAAGAGATTAACAAATTGTATAAGTTGTTAAAGGAGAAATCTGAATCCACAAATATATTTAAAGGACATTTAATTCAAGTTCTTCAAGGTGGTAACAAAGCTGCATTTGAATCTTTTTTTCCTTCCTATATTACTTACGCTTCAGGTCCAGATTCACTCTACGAAATAGAAGAAACTAAGGAATATAACAAAAATGTAAAGGTGACAATTACTCCAGATAAATCTATAGACCCTGACTGAAATGTTCCGAAATTGCTAGACTTGCTCAAAAACTATAGTGTTAAAAACTTTACTTTAAGAACTTCTGATAATGGAAGAAAAATGTGACCTTCTATAGTTTTCGATAGTACTTCTCCTGATTATTTCCCCATAATTCGAGAATCTTATGCCTCTGAAGAAAATGTAATCTAAGCACAATAACCTAGCTAGCTAAGGACTTCCGAAGAAGTGGAGGGCTGACTACCCTGCCTTCTTCTTTGTGTATTTCTCTTCGGAGTACTTACCTATCAATACAGACTTCCTGGGGCAGTGACTACTGCCTTCCTTCTAACTTCTACAGCCTCAGTTTATAGTGTTCTACTTCTACTCGGACTCTCTTATACAAAATCAACACTATTTGGGGCCATATGTCTGTATTTAACTTCTCAATTAACAGCCGCAAATTGACTAAAAATTGCTAAAAAATACTTTCTAAAAGGTAGCTATTCTATAAGAATGGCAATCACCCTCGCCAATAAAAAAATAAATTCCTATTCAATTGAGCTAGGATTGCTTCTCTTAATTCCGGGAGCTATATTCGTCTTTCTCCTTCCCTCCTCGTTACGAGAAACTGGAATAGTAGTAATCCTAGGTTCTTTCATAATGATTGCCCTGTGACTCCTAGCTTCTAATTTATACTTTCCTTCCTTCTTTTCCTCATTTTCTGCTAATCGAAAGTTTTTAATTTCTGGAAAGTCATCGAAAATAGTTCAATCAACTGAATTGAGTGATATTAACGAAAAGGGATTTACAAGTTCATTTCAAACCTTTCTAAAACCATCTAAAAAATACCAATGGCCGCTCTATTCAATTTCGACTCCAATTTTTTTCATCTTAGGAGGAGTGGGATTAATCCTCTGACTATCTCATTTTGAATTAACTTATCCTAAGTTTTTTAAAGGAAACAAATTATTAGCCATAAATGAGAACTCTAAAAACTTAATTGAAACCAATTTAAAAAGTCTAAATGGTCAATTTAGGGAATTAAAAAATATTCCAAAACAAATCGCTGTCAAGCATTCAAATGCAATTAATTTAATTTACTATCTATTCCCAGAAACAGTAAATTTAGATCAATTTATTTCTCAACTAAATAATGACTCGAAAAACGGAGCTGCCGCTTCAACAACCAATACTGCTAATCTCCACTGAACACTTCAATCGACTGATGCTTTTTCCATTATGCCCGCCTTAAAAACTCTCTTAAAACTAATAGTTTGATCAACACTACCTCTCTCGTGCTACTGCGGATTCCGCTTCGGATTCTCCAGTGCTCTTTCTCTAGTGTCTTCTTCCTTTTCTCTCTTAGGTTCTAACTATCTCTTTTTACTTACTTCTAAGCTCTCAACCTCTAATCTTTTTCCCGAAATCGTACTTATATCCTTCATACTTCTACTTTCTACTTGGATTAATACATTACTAAGAGCAAACTTCTTTAAAAACCCTGATCATGACGAGAATAACAAAAAAGGATTTTTTGATTACCAAGGTTTTGAGTTAAAAAATAAATTCCAATCAGAGGGTAAGAATTTTATTATATTGACAATAGGCTGCATTCTATCACTCGCCTGTATTGGTCATTTTGAGATAGTCTATGCTCTCCTTCTATCATTAGTATTTACCTCAATTACACACTATCTTTTTATTCCTCTTCAAGCTCGACTGTGATCTAAATTTAGATTCTTGTTTTACAAGTCTTCAGTTAAAACAGCCCTTTACCTCATGAGACGACGCCAATATGTACACTGAGCTCCTGAAGAAGAAAACGTATTAGGTATTAATATGTAAGACCAACATTTTCTAGGGTTGATGAATCTTTTCTTTTTTCCGGATAAATTGATATTCTGTTTTCTAACTCATCAGGAATAACCAACAACTCTGAGTGATTTTTTAGACAGCTTTCTAACGCACCGTCACAAGAGGGTAAGCTAAGTTGGGCTCCCCTTGACTTTCCCCTAAAATAACGATTAATAAGATCAAACACTAAATTAAAAACTCCAGTAACTGTTAGAATTCCAGTGGCTATCCCCATCATAGAAGCTGCGCCTGCATTCACATTCTTCTTTTCTGAAATAGTTAATTTCCTCACTACTTAATTCAAGGAAGTCCAAATGTGATTCCACTTTTATAATAGTAGGGAGAAAATCGAATAGAAGGCCTAAAAGCTTCAGACGCATAAGCATAAAAATCCCTTCTATAGTCTAAACCACTAAATCCTCCATATGCTCCTCTTGTCGGAGGATTCTTTCTATTAAATAAGAAGTGATATAATTCTTCTCCCAGTGTAATTAACCCTGGAAGTGTAGCTAACGTCAAAAGAGAAATATTGTGTAATTTCGCATTGTAAGCATTTAATCTTTTACTAGAAGAAGAGGCGCTTCCGCCTCTTCTTCTAAAGGAAGCTCCTCCTAAACTTTCATATTTCTCGGAAAGGGAAAGCTGTCTCATATTACTTCTCTAAACCTAGTCACTATACTAATACTCTTAAAAAATCAAAAAAGCATAATCCACTATCTTACTCATTCCATCTCATTATCGAAAATATAACTTAAATATCTAAATAAATCAAATCTAAGAATTACATCTTTAGTAGTGTTATCAGCAGTAGCTTCTTGGTGAGAGAGTGCAGATCCAGCTCCTCTCTTATCATCTTCTAATTCCTTAATAGTATCTTTACCATATACAAAGGGAACTCCATCTTTATAAATAATGACTGTCGGAATACCGGAAGCTTTATCTCCAAAATAGTACATTAATAGAGACTGTAACTTTCTAAAATCCATAGCTGATTTATCATATCTTATGAAGTCATCCTTTATATATCCTTGACTAACTAGTGTTTTATCTCACTTTGATCAGGGAATTCTAGCTAGATCATCATTATTTCTGTAATCCATTGAGGGAATTTCATCACTGAAGAAAATAAATTTCAATGAAGATAATTTCCCTGTTTTTCGAGCTTTTGATAAAGAATATGTCTCGAAAAAAATACCATTATAATAAACATTCTTATGAGCCCCTTTCCAACTTTTAGGAGATTCATTTTCACTATATAAAAAGTTGTTGCAGTTAGGGCAAGCTTCTGACCCGAAATAGAGTACATAATTTCCGTTATTATATGATTTAGTCCCCTTAATTAGTTGAGAATTAGAGACTCTAACTTCAGGAAAATTAGTAAATAATGAAGTATCAGCTGTAATTGAATTAGAATCTCCATTTTGACTAGTATCCACTTGTGACACACTTGAAGAAACATGACTTTCATACTTTCTAGGTTCAGGATTAAATTCCCTAATTAAATATTGTTCATACCTATCCCCAGCAATTGCAATTGGAATAGCAATTGCTCCAGCACCTAATGAACTAGACCCTACTATCGCTATAGCTTTAAACTTAGATAAGAGTAAATTGAATAGAAAACCCACTCTTCCTTACCTTATGTTAAGTGAATAACATCTATGAGTGTTTTATTGAAATTTCCAAAAACTCCAATACTAAATACGAACTGTCTAACTCTAAACTAATTCTTGATAGAGTCTTATTTGGTGCTGAAATGTATCCCCATAATTACGGGTTTATTACTAATACTTTAGGAGAGGATGGAGATCCCCTAGATGTACTTCTTATCTCCAATATACCTTTACATCCCGGCACTTACGCTAATGGACGAGTATTAGGTGCACTAGAAATGACAGACTCCGGGGAAAATGATTTAAAAGTAATTGCGATCATGCACGATGATCCCAGACTCTCCCATATAACTAAGTTAGAGGAATTGCCAAATCATTGATTACAAGAAATTAAACATTTTTTTCTTAATTACAAAACATTAGAAAATAAGAAAATTAAGTTAGGGAATTTTCTTGAGCTTCCCGAAACATTAAAGCTAATTAATAGAGCGAAGGAAAAATATAAAGTTTAAATTCCTAATTGAATATATACTGGCACACCTAGTAGGACTTGAACCTACACTCTTTTGATCCGAAGTCAAATGCTTTGTCCAATTAAGCTATAGGTGTAACTATTAATGACTAAATCAACTAAAAAAGTACTACTTCCTGATACTTTTTCATTCGTCCAAGAAAGTATTAATGACTTCTTTGGGAAGATTCATAATGAATTTAATCTTTCTCTAAAAGATGCTATCAAAGAATTCACTGAATTTCACGTAAATCAATGCAATTATCTAGGATATCTCCCAGAAACACAAAATCTTTCTATTTACTATCACTTTAACTATCAACCAGATGAAAACTTAGCTGTTCTAGAAAAAGTATATTTCGTCTCTCCTGAAGTTAGACACGTATTAATGAACAATTATTTATTAGAAATAGAGTCTTACACTAAAAATTTTCCTACATCTAATGGATGAAATGTACTGAAGTCTAAACCTAGCACTAATCTTTTTGAATATGAAGAAAAATTTAAAGGATTAACATTCTTTGCTGACTACAACAATTTAGAAACATATGAAGCTAGAAAAATGTTACTAGACTACTCTTGATTACGTGCTAAAAACAAGCAACTCCTACTACTTAAAAATCTCAACAAAAACTATGAAAACAATATGTTAACTGACACAATTATTAAATTTGATCTTTCTTTTTTAAATAAGTCATCTTTCTTTGCAAACGAACGATATTCTGGATTTAAGAAAATACTTCCTCCTAACTTAATGATTGATTTACCTATTTCTTTTCACTATGAACTCCTCCCTGTTTCTGATCAATTGAAAAAAGAACAATTAATTGATCTAAATTCATTAAGAACAAATATTACTGAATAAAAGATGATCACTCTAAAAGAAGAAAGTGAATTGCAATCTTTAATCCAACAAGGTAAGTCTATTCTGATTGATTTTTATGCAGATTGATGTCCTCCCTGTAGACAACTTATGCCTGTTCTAGAAAAACTTTCTCTCACTGAAAAATATTCTCGAGAAATTCAATTTTTTAAAGTGAATATCAATGATTTTCCCGATCTTGCTCGGGAATATGATATTTCTTCAATACCTACTTTGATATTTTTATCAGGATCGGAGAAGCCGATGGAAAAACATGTAGGATTTTTTGAATATGATAACCTTGTTCTCTTAATAGAGAAATACTTCTTCTAAGGCCTTGAGCCTTAATTCTGGCCTCGACGGCAAGGATATCCTATTTTATGCAGGGGTTACTCTCTGCCTTTGCATTTTCATATTATTCTTAAAAAAAATTTTCTATAGAGTATGACTCCAAAAAAACTACTTAATGTTTCCGAGCTTAGATATAAATACTATTTCAAGCATTGCAATGATAATAGCTACAAATACTGCTGTAATATTCGCAATAATTTTTCTAACTCATAACCTTTTGGGAATAATTTTTCAAATTTATCCAGGAAGTAGACTCTTGATCGAAACAATACTTATAAAGATAGGTGGAAGTCTCTATGGACCTACTATAGGAATGTTAATAGGACTTCTTACAGACTTATTAACTGTTATTCTTACTTCCTCTGTATTCAATTATGGATATTTATTAGCTGCTATCTTTAATGGATTCCTAGGAGGATTTATTTTCATAATGCTTCAGGATAAAAAAACTAAAGAAAAACTTTCTAGAGTATTCAACAATTTCTCAGTAATTGGACTAATGTCCATAGCTACAATAGCTTTTTACTATTTTCATCAAGTGACATTTACTGATTCTACTAGATCATCCAATGGAATCTCTCTTAATATATTCTCTCAATCCATTAACTTCCCTTCTTGATTCTTTCCTGCCTTTCTAGCCTCTATTCTCGCTCTACTACTAATTTCTCTAATTACGACCTCCTTACTTTCTCTTTTTTGCGTTTCTCCAAAAATTCTAAAAAGCGCTCAAAAACTGAACTCTCTAACTAGATTAACTTCAATTAACTTTATAGCTTATGTATTAGTAGATATAATCACTCTACCTCTTTTTGATATCATGATTTCTACACTGCCTTACGAACAATTCTTTATCATGAGAAATCTATTCTTACTTCCTTCTGTTGCATTCTCTTCTTTAATTATCTGGAAAATATTTAAATTGGATAAAAAATTGAATTTCTCAGCAACTCAACAGAGCCGATTATCAGCCTTACCATCTATTGCGAAACCTACAATGCTCATATTTAACTGCAATAGTCATTTAGCGTACTAGCTTAAAAAATTTCAAGAATTGAGAAATTCTTAATTGAGAAGGGATTCATATTCCCCTCAAACTCTATTTATGGTGGGATGGAAAACTCCTGAGATTATGGTCATATTGGAGTTCTACTTAAGGAAAATTTAAAAAAAGCTTGAATAGATTTTTTTGTTACAAGGGAAAAACATGTAATTCTCTATGAGGGTACAAATTTAACTTCTAGAGAGATATGAGAAGCTTCTGGACATTTAAAAAACTTCGAGAAATTACTAGTAGAATGTAAAAAATGTAATCATAGATATGAATTAGAAAAAAATGAAACTATTGAATTCTGTTCTAATTGTCAATCAAAAGAGATGACCCCTCCTAGAGAATTCAATTTAATTTTTAAGTCAGATAAATATTATTTAAGGCCAGAGACTGCTCAAACAATATTTATAAATACTAAGGAAATCGCTCTCAAATATCAACTCAGTTTACCTTTCGCAATTGCTCAAATAGGTAAATCTTTTAGAAATGAAGTCTCCCCCGGAAAAACTATTTTCCGAACAAAAGAATTTGAACAACTAGAATTTGAAGAATTTGTTCCAGTTGAACAAGTTCCAAAAGCTTTATCAAAACACCAGGCAAAAATTACTATTTTCTTGAAATCAGTTTTAGAATTATCTCCCTCATCATTTTTTTTCAAAAACATTCCTAAAGCTGAACTTCCTCATTACTCTCTTCAGAATATAGACCTTTACTATAGATTTGAATTTGGAGAAGAAGAATTATGGGGAATCTCAAATAGGGGAAATTTTGATTTATCTTCTCATCAAACACATTCAGGAGTTAAATTACACTTGCAATCAAATAAAAATACAGAAACAGTATTACCTTATGTAGTAGAACACTCAGCTGGGCTAAATAGGT